GTTTAGAGAAAGTGATGGATGATACTGATATGGTTGAGGTTGTGAACGAGACCTTTCTTGTATCATCAGAGTCAACTCCCGAAACAATTTTGGAGACACCGAAGACACCATCTCAGAAGCAGACTCCTGACAAGAGTGGTAATGATGCATCAGGTGCTGGCCCATCACAGCCGGATCAGTCAGATGACACCTGTAGCCATGAAAAGAAGATTGAGATCGACGTCAAGCCAGAAACCCCCAAGAGACAGAGCGTAGAACCACCGAGTCCGATGAGGATGGAATGTCTGAAGATAGAGTGCAAAGTGGCAGCAGACATCTCAAACACGAAAGCAGAGGAGGGGATGTTCAACTGCCTTTCTGAGATGATTGATTTGTCTGAAGACTACACGATTCAGAGGCCTGAGAAATGTGTAATGGGTGGAGGAAGACGTCCTTCATCAAGGCTTGGCTGGATGCCAAAATCAAAGGCAGGGAAGAAGTTGACACCTTTTCCAAAAAACGATACCTCCGGATCATCCGCACCGCAGTCTTCGACCAAAGATCCACCCAAGAAAAAGAATGATATTTGTGATCTTCTTGGCTGTCACCATCGACCTCAATCTCAACCTCCTGATGATATTCATTGTGCGCAGGTGTCCAGGAACATGGTTGATCAGCCTTCTTCATCTCATTCTCATCAGGCCTCTGTGGAGCCTGTACCGCCTCAGACTCATGTGTGGCCTTGGGAAGTGGATGTACTAGAAACACCTACTCTCCATGAGAATGTAACTAGTCGCGAAACCACAGTTGATAGGGCCATGCCTGAGATTGCTGAGCACATGGAGGCACATACAGCTGCGCCAGCTGCAACCTCGTGTACATCGGAGCCATTGGAAAGGCGATCGCAATCACAGTTTGACTTGGAGCATCATGATGCACCTGTGCGTGAACACCACACGCAAAAGAAACAGCAATGCAGCCGGATTGTCAGAACTTTGCAAGACGGCCTAGAGTTTCAGAAGCATGCTGTGAATGTTCTTCTAGATGAGCCTGATTGTGATGAGGAGGCCATCTTGGCGCACCTGGAAGAGGCACTTCAACGAGATTCGTTGAGCACATGTTATAGTGGTGTGGAGTCTGCAGGGACAGCCACAAACTGCGTGGCATATGCAGTGTCTAAGGCTACCAGGCGTCCTGCATTCTGAAGACTGTTGTCTTTTTTTCAGATGTATGTGGTTTCTACAGAGATGAGCTGGATGAGACCATACGACAGTTGAAAGCCACTAGGCCATGCTACATACGCTCACGTTTTTTTGTTGGTGCGTCAGTGATTCAATGATGTATTTGCGTGTTGTTTGAAGGGGGAGAGGAAAGAAGTAGGATGATTTTAGAAGCTGCTGGATTCATTCCTTTTACGCTCTTAGGACAGCCCTCCATGTGCGTGGAAGCGCTCGGGCCTCTCATCGCAGCTGGACGTGCGATGAAAACAAGTGCATGGTGTCATCGCCACAACAAGATTCATGGCTGTAGTTTGGAATGATGAAGCGACGTTTTAGTTCTGAGTTGAGTTGATCAGTTTGTCGGCAAACAAAATGCTCGTTCAGATTTGTGCTTTGCAGCTTCCAATGCATAAAGACACAAACACGGCACATGTACATTGTACACCTATTCATTGATATTGATAGATCTATTTGTTTGTCCCTTTCATTCTTCCAAGCATTCGTCAGCCACAGGATATGCAATCTTCGAACAGCACGGCGCCACCAAGCAGGGACTTCATGTCGCCCATTCTCGCGACGTGGCTCCAGACTTGGGCTTCTGGACACAGAATCTTTGGCTCTTTTAGCGTGGATTGGGCTGAGAGTCACCTTACAAGAGGGTGACATAACTCAGGAGAACGTGGAGTCGTTCTGCTGTGATCTCCTTGTCCGCTTCCTGAGTCCGTTCTACTACATTGACCGCTATGTCGGAGACCCAACCTACTTCGGTTGGCCTGTTGCTCGGCCCAGGCAATACCTACGACTCCGCCACCGTGAGAAGGTGTTGGCTGAGTTGAGCCCTTTGTCCACCTTTGCAAAGCGATTTTGGAGGGCAATCGAGTTTGAGTGGACACAGCTTGTGTGCTTTCACAAAGAGATGTTCTTCAACCAGGGAGTCAGACAAAATGAAATCACAGAAGAGTTGATGTGGGCACAGGGACGCCCAAACAGCCGTGCACACGGTCGGGCTCCAGTGACCATGGATGATGACCAGCCATTCCTGCAATGCCTCACCGAATCAGAAGATATTTGCTGGAGAGCCTATAAAGCACGATGGCCTGGAACAGCTGGTCAGTTGAACCAGGACGCAATGAGTGGGCATGGCTCTCACTCTTCACCAATGTGTTGCAAACATTGATTGCAAATTGTGGGCCCATCATGACAGACAAAGTTCATCCAGAGCGATGGTTGCTGGCCTCTGAATGTCTCTTGGCACAGGGCTTCCCTGTTCTTCCTGGCACTTTTAGCGATACAAAGTGCCTTGACCAAAATAGTGGAGTTCAGGTAAGTGAACATTGTGTTCAACAATTGGAGTGGTTTGGTTATAGTTATAGTTATATATGTTTCTGATCATGCGCTGGCTCAATTTCCAACAAGGACATCATATCAGCCATCAAACAGTGTGAACTGAAAGCCTTATAGTAATAGTAATGTTGAAAATGATCAGTGAGAGTGGCAGTGGCATGGTTAAGACTTTTCACAAGTTAGAAGTAACGGTATTCAGTATTCGGTCGTGATCGTGCCACACACTTGCACCATGACCTGCCACAGCTGCAGGCTTTGCAGCTTCAATTATGAGCGAGCAGATCGCAATTCACGATCTGTACGGTCACAGTGCGGAGATGCTATGAACGTGCAGGTCATGAGTGTCTTGTACTTCCACAGCTTAAGCTGCTACAAGTGGCAGGGGTCCAGTGACTTGATGATGAGTCTTCAATTTGGGAGGAAGATGTTGCGCGAGAGCATCAAGCAGGCTCATGGGAACAAGAGGAAGCTTCCAGCCAAGACGTCGCTGGGGAACGTATTGAATGATGCTAGCACTGTCAGGGCAAGGTCGGCACCATCAACATCTGAGGTTGTGGACAAGTTGCGCCACGGTGCAACACCAAGCTCCACACCTGTCACAGGACCTGGTGATACATCTCATGGATTGGGTCATGCTTTGGCGGTGGCACGGCGTTACCGATCCAAGAAGCCTGAGAGACGCTAAGTTGCTAGAACGTCAAAGTTTGGGTACTGTTCAGGAAAGCTGAACGGAACTTGACATTGTTTCGGCAATGCTCCAAAGCTGCAAAGCTATGGAGAGCTGGCAGCTGTCAAGTGTCCTGACTGGCATCACATCGTCAATGAATGAGTTGGTAAATGGCAATTGACATGTGGTGAAAGTACTGTGATCACCTTGACCTAATACACATCAGCGCCACTTGCACTAATAAGTCGCAAGAGTTGCACTGCGTTGATTCATCTTCTGCACCTTCATCTTTGCTCAAGAAGAGAGGGTTGGTAGGCTGGTAGGTATATAGAGTCCGTCATTGGTTGCAGAACAAAAAACATCTCTATACAGAGTCCACGCAATCAGGCAATGAACAACACACATCATACCTACAACGTTCACAACAAAAATGACCAGCTGAGATCGGGTCTTACAGTCTTACAAATACCCTGTCTCATAGACTATCATAGACTCTATGTATATATTTGGTGTGTATAGATTAGATTCACTGTTTTTTGCAACAAACAAACCAATTAAACAATCAACGCATGTATGACTTGGCATATACTGCAGCATACACGTGTGTAGTTTACAACTTGTGGTCATAAGATTTCATGGTGCAGCACATGTGATGTGAATCAACGAGATGTTATCGGTGCAGGTGGCATTGTAATTCATTCATTAGGCTGCACGCCTGTTCATCGAGATCGGATTGCACAGGATCGCGCTGGTTGCTTGCGTTTTCTATGACTGGCATGAGGGTCAACTCCAACTCCAAATTTAGCTCAGCTTCAAACACTTTGATTCAAATTGATGCTGCGCGGCTTTGTATGGCTGTGGGCAGTACAGCACACATCACTTTGCTTTACAGGAGTAGAGAGTACAGCTGAGCAGAGTAGGAGTGAGAGTTGAAGGGCCTGTCAAGGGAGCAAGGTAACTGTACAGGCTGACTGTACTTCGCGCGACGTGCGAGGATTGAAAACGAGAATCTGACAAACAAACACAAGCAAAGCAACAGCATTTGGGGTTAGTTGACACTTGCGTTTAGGTTAAAAGCTTGACGGTTGACACCAAATGGAAACGCGGCAATGATTGATCTATGTCCATGATAGGGTTAGTTTTCAAGTCACTCTTTTCAAGCGTCTTCAAATGCCTTCGCTTGTGTCAGTCTGCCAGTAGCGCATTGTACAGGCTGCAGCACTGCAGCACTCACTAGGAGGCGCTCGCTCGTGTGCATTCTTATCCTCGACAGGTGCCCAACAACTACACCATGGACCAGCATTCTTTGGATAGCTTGCCAGGTCCCAAGTGTATCCATGACGGGTACAAGTTCCACAAGAAGTTGCTATTTGATTTGGCTGTCGGCTGTCCCCAACACGATTCAGTCATTAGTTGGTGTGTTGATGTTGATTGGCAATTGGTATGGATGTTTATGAACTCAACTGTTGCAGCGATACTGCACGCAAGAAGTGTCTTTATGCAGTGCCAGTGACTCATGCACGCTACTGTCTGTAATGCTTTGTCGAATTGTTTGTGCTCAAAAGAAAAGGGTTCTTGTGCATATTGCTGCAGTGCGCTTGATCTCTTGGTGCGACAGACGCCTGATTGATTGACCAGAACTGACCATCCATCCAGCGGTTCTGGAAATGCAGATCAGATCAGAGAAAGATGACGGCCACGACATTCCCGATAACAAGGGCATTCTTTGGAACAAGTCTCCAGAGCAGGCCCAGGCGGAAGGAATTGACTTGACGAGCTCAAACCTGGATATGCACTGTCTGTTTGGTGATCTTGAAGGTGCTGTCCTATTAGACCAAATCTTCAAGTTTTGGGGTGATCAGGAATGTGACATTCCCTGGTTCTACACTGGAAGCAACACTGAGAAGAATGCGCCTCAGAATGCGCTCAACGGTGGCGGGATTACTCAAGCCAAAATGAGGAAGCTAGTCTAAAATTAGGCAATATTGCATTAGCAGATTTTCGCATTGGTGCGGGTACAAAAAACTCTGTTAATTTCCATAGCGGGCTCAGGAATGTCAGTTTGTTGTGAAGCATTATATTTCGATTCAGTCTCTTTTGTGTTCACTCAGGACTGTCATTCGATCAGAACTGTCCCGGCCGATTCAAGAGTCTACCTGTGAAGCTTACAAGGCTTGTGCTGGTGGGGTTGCGGGGTTGGTCATATGTGTCATGGAACAACCTATCAGTTGTTACAGTTGTTTGTAACAATCTTGAACTTTTTAAATCTACTCAGTCTAGAAATGATATGTCTTTGCAGTTTGCATACGCTCACATCCATTTCCAGGCAAGGATCTACAAGGAGGGACTCAGCCAATTAGCCAGCGGTGAGGCAGTGTTCAAGTGGCTTTCGCCAGAGCGTGGGTTTCCAGTTAGTGCTGGAACCTTTAATCACCGTGCAGAAGCGCTTTACAGAGCCTGTGCTGAGCAGCCTGACCATCCATTGGTGTCTAATGCAGTGTCCAAGGGCCTCAAGCGAGTCAAGATGATGAATTTTGACGATGCACCAACAAGTTTGTATGATTTGGTTCACAATTGCACAATGCATCACTACAGTCAGGTTCCAGGTTCAAGTCAAATATAAACGCATATATATATGTTGTGTAACACTTGGATGTTATGATGTTATTGGAAACAGCGATGGGAACTGACCACCAACCTCACACCTCACGACCTCTTCTGAAGCGACTACCTCTAAGGAAGTGGTCCATACCAGACCAAGTCTGGGCAAAATTCATATCAATCCACAATGATTTCCATCAAGGCTCTGGAAATTCGTTCTTGGACTACGGAGCTGATGCAGTCTCAATGGAGGCCAAGTGGAAAGCGCATTGCAAAAGGACTGGTATGTGCGCTTTTGTCTGCAAAAGTGAGTCTGACTAGTCGTTGATTCTTTACGGGTCTTAAGCAGCTACGTTACTAGGCAGCCTATGCAAGCATTGTTGTGTCAAGTGAGGCCGTTGATTTGTCAAAGTGAAAGCAGGGAAGTCAGTTGGTCGGAGCAAGTCAATTAAGACAATGTAGGTGAACGCAAGTGCGGATTCAGGCGTTGCCAATCCTTCCTATCGATCGGAGTATGAGTCTTTTGTCTTCAAGAACAGCTACTTCTTTCGCAAGTGGAACCCTTTCTCTACAACCTTGTCCTTTGTCCACACACTAGAGAAGTATGGCTTGTGGCGACTTGGACAATATTGGGAAATTCTACATTAAAGGCGACACACTATGCAAAACAAACTCGGACTGTGTGTTCGGACAACAACAACAACAACAACAACCGGAGAACTGATTTACGATGTAAACTTGTTGTAGTAGGTGGCTAGGCCAATTTCTAGGCTAGGAGGTTTGAGGCTATGGGCCATGGGCCATGGGTTTTCAGGCTGTCCAGCTTTGTGGCACTCATGTTTGACGTCAGGAATGAATTTTCATCCTGGAGCCGTTCCAACGTGGACTTTCTCGAGAATAAGATGGAGCCTGCACACGTTTTGCCTTTGATGCACACCATCGTTCTGAATTTGGAGAATGAGATGAAGAAATGGTATCCAAAGGAGAATGTTGCGCGGGTAATCTTTGAGGCTCTGAAGTTTTGCGTGCATGCCCTAGTTGTTTGTGTGCTGTTGGTCTTTGGTCTTTGGTTCAGTGTTGAGTGCTGGGTCTGGGTCAAGCATTGAAGATATTGAAGCATTTAATTGTACATATGATGTCAGCAAACAATATCAACTAATTGTGAGCCACAATGCTTGATGTTGAAACTGACATACACATACACATACATATATGTTTACATATATTATGAATGGAGTCATGCATCGTGAGATGTTGGAAAGTTGCAGGTTGCACTCAGCATTCGTTCATTGTTCATTCAAACAATATCAGGTGCCCACGTGCTCATCCAAAGGGGAACGGCGCCTCAAGTGGATATTCGAGAAATACACTCCTGATGTGTCCCGATCCGTCAATTTGTTGAGCTTGCCTATGGGCACGTCTGCAGCGTTCAAGAAGTTGCTTGATGACAAGGATGCGAACCACGATCAGGTTTCGACTACAACAATGTCCAAGGTTTCCGGAGGTCTGGCAAACTTTGACAAAAAGCAAATGGAGCAGGGGGTTATGGCCTATGTTGGGACTTTTCGTCACAGTTGTCTTTTTCTGATTTGTTTGTAGCAGTCAGCTCACACGTTGATGTGTATTGAATCTAGACTCTAAACTAACTGTTTTCACACAGCTGCCTGCGAACATTTGAAGACTGAACGAACGCTCAAGGATGAAGATGCAGTTGTTCACACCACTGGCACACAGGTAGCAAACATTCAATTCTCAAGTTGAAGTCCAACACCAAGCAGTACAGGAATGTAGAGAGGGAGTCTTAGTACTTAGTACTTGGTCTTTAGACTTTAGAGCATATCTCCGGGGCTCCACGGGCAAACAAACTACCAAATGGTTGCGTGCGCTTCAAATTGTTTGAATAACCTTTAAGGTCTCAGCGGAGCTTAGCAATTGCATTGGTGTTCAGTTTGAACCACAAGCCGGACAAGCAAGTGAGAATCTGGGCATCGGCGAGGGCATGGAGGTAGATGCTGATAATTGATTATCGAAGTTTTTTTTGTCAGCCTATGCAGCTATGCACATCCAAGGCAATTTGTATCCTTTGTGGAGTCCCTGGCCAAAGACGAGAAACGTGAGAAGACTGTGTTGGACGACATCATTTCTGCATTGCAGTTTGTCATTGACAGTGTTGGCGCAGCACATGTCAAACAGCCCAAGAAGAAGCAACGAACCGTAGCAGGTCAAGGAACAACCCCAAGGTCAGCCGAGGCAACACTCAAGGGAATGGGTTTTTGCCTTTCCATGTTCTTGGAGTTTGCATTTGAGGGCACCACAACCGTGAACGGGAAATGCTTCAAGTCATATAGTGCACTGCGACCAGAGCTTCAGCAAGTCATGCTTGCAGCGCAGGAGACGTTTTCGACAGAGGCCTCTGATGGAAAAGAAGTTGATGCAATTGAACTTGCAACTTTGCTCACTGAGTCCTTCGTAGACAAGCCTGTACACACAATCATTGGAGCGATGAGGAAACAGGCTGTGTTCAGCGGGTGACTGCCACCATGAATGTCACTGCGCAGTATGATGCCATTGTCAGGCCTTTACAAGAGTTTGTGAAGGGAAAGTTGCATTTGCCCTTGATGCTGCATCCAGCAACCCAAGTGACCCTCACGGAATTCTCGAGCTTGGCATCTTCTGAGAACGCCAGCGCTGCCACAGCGATCAGAACGCTGACAGACGCATTTGCCTTTGTCCAGAGCAAGCTTGAGGAGCATTTTCCTTTTGCATGGGTTATGTTTGCGTCGGATGTCAGCGAAGTTTTGATCTATCGAGGGCATTTCATTGAGGGAAGCGATCAGGCACATCTCTTGTTTCAGTCAACTGCATTACTGCGTTGCTCTCAAGTGTTCTCAAATGTCAAACGAGTTGTATGGTTTACCCAACTGATATTACTGACATTGATCGAACAAATGGCTTGATAGTTTTACCAAAAACACCTTTATATACCGATACCTATATACAAGTAAAACCACTGCCAAACCTAGACTAAGCCTGACATGTCAAAAGCCATCACCATCATCAGGTGTTCCAGAACAAGAGGGACTGTGTGGATGATGTCACTTCCCTTCGCCTGCGCTACTTGATGTTGATCCTGAAGGAAATCGTGACCAAAGTTCAAAACGTAAGTCCAGCAGCAAAGAACATCATTGCACAGCTGGGTGGTTTGGATGTCAAATCAACTGACTTTATCTGCCTATGCACATGTGATCTGCTGATGTCATCTTCAGACTGGGCAAGCACGTGGTCTTTCATGCTGAGGGAAAGTCAGAGCTTCGAGCACATGTGTGACTCGATGTTGGAGAAGTTTGGGTTGAGCAGGGACGCCATTTTGAAGACCAGCAAGGAGACCTCTTCAGCGAAGACAGCCACAGCCGCTGCAGCTGCCACTGTTTCACGCATACACACCGAATCAGCGGTCAACCCGAAACCTGCTACTGCTGATGGTGGTGATGCCAGTGGCGCAGATATTGATGGCCTGAAGACCAATGCTGATGGGGATGATCGGGCCGCAAACGCAGCCGCAGCCGCAGCCCACAAAGCTAGCATCAGCATCTTGGACCAAAGCAGTCTTGTTGATCGTTTGGATTTTTTAGATCCCCATCCCCATTGCCTCTATAAAATGGGGGTGGTCAAGGTCTGCTATAAAACGTTTTTTGGTCCCCCCCTGGGGGCCGTAGGGGTGTCAATTTATAGAGAATGCATGCTGGAGTGATGCATGTATAGAGTCAATGTGGGCTTGCCAATGCACTTGTCATTTTTGTTGGAGTGTGGTGAGTGCGCTTTGTCCTTGCCTGATTGGTGCTTGGTGTTTCTTTAGCTTGATTGAGTTTGCTTGAAAATAGATGAAGGAAGGATTGTAAAATATTGTGGAACTTTTGTCAAACAGCGAATTGAGAAGTCAAGAGGCTGTATCTTTTTGATGGTCTAGGCAGTTGAGCTTACATTCCAACACGTTTCTAAGTTTTGAGATTTGGACGTTGAGATCTGTGCAGCACCTTTCATTCTGGGGGCAGTTTCCGCGACGTTGTTGGACGAGCACGTCTGTGAGTCTGTGGAAAAGTGCGTTTTTGAGATGTTTTTGGGCTGCTTTGTATGCATGTTTCCAAGGTCAGCACCACCTCATTTTATAGAAAATACATTTACGTGGGGGCTTACCAAAGTATACCCCTGAGAACGTCGGTTTGACCACATTATATCTATAAAATGGCCTGCAAGTCCCCCTGCCCAGAATGGGGACATGGATTTTATTAGTAAACGATCCAAATCCAAAGAGCTGGCTGTCCAGCGGTGTGTTTTTGTAGTTTTGACCACTTGAAGTTCTCATCACATCTGACTAACGACTAACGGCTTTGAAATCATGGCTCCTGGCTCTTTGCACCGCTTGAGGTTCGTTCAGTGGGACTGAGCTGACAGCTGTGCCGCTTTCGATGGTCAATTGCTTTGCCGATGAACAGGCAGACAGTGGCAAAACATTTTTGGCAGCCTCACATGAAGCGAGCATTCTTGGTTTGGAGAAGGCATCCTTTTCAGCAGGTTTTCTGAAGATGCTACAATCAAAGCTTGAAGCTGCTTTGTGGTCCATGCATCTCTCATTGGACACGCATGAGGGCAAAGAGATTGTGGTGAACCTGGCAAGCAAGCGCATGGAAACCTATGTCAAGTACCCCATTGACAGCAAGCTGGTGTTGCCGTACATTGGAAAAGTGACCCAAGTCAAGACATCTACCAGCCTGCCATTCGTCACATTGTTTGGTGTGAACTTCTACATTGATGAAATGAAAAATGCAGATGTGCTTCTGCCTGCCTGGACATGCAAAACAGTCACACGCGCTGACATTGCCTACTTCAAGCTGGAGAAAAGCTTCTACAGGCTCGCTCTGATCACAGACCCGTCCTCATCTACCCTGCACGATTTGGAAGTGCACCTTTCCCCTGATGGAAGAGAATGTCCAGAAGCCTTTGGAGAGCACGCTGCGTGGATGCCATCTTGGGCGCAAAGCAAGCGGACATTTACTGTTTACTCAGAAATCTCATCTTTGGTTCCACTGGCAGATGCGGAATCCAAGGTGCAGAGAGAACTGGAGCTGCAACGTCAGAGGGCAGAAAAATCTGCACGTTCCCAGATTGACGCCTTCTTGAAAAAGTCAAGGGAGTCAACAAATGAAGCAGGGACAACCAAGCCTGGCAAGAAAAAGACTGGAGGAGGAAGGGGAAAGGCTGGGTCAGGCTCAGCAGCAGCCACCTCGATTGAAGGATTGGCAGAGAGTCTTCTCGGAGACGGGTTGCCAGAAGAGAGGGAAGCTCGAATCAAAGCGTTGGAGTCCATTGTTGAGACCAGTGGGAAGCTGGAGAGCATCGTCACTGGAGTCAAGGAGAAGATCACCACACCAACGAAGGTGGGAATTACCAAGATGGCATCAGATGAGGCACGTGTCTCTGCCTCTGCACGAACAAAGGCCATGAAGGAGCTACTTGCAGCAGCAAAGGCGTCTGAAGGTGGTGGCAGTCGCAAGGGCATTGAAGACACTGGTGCAGATGCACTTTCTGCTGCTGCTGTTGGACTGGCAGCGGCAAAAGCCGTGGCAGAGAAGGAATCTAGCGGAAGCGCACAGAAGAAGGACAAGAGCAAGGGCAACAAGCAAACCTCTTGTGACCTCGTCAAAGCTGGCAAGCATTTGCTCAAGTGACCGTTCTCTGATCTCTCAAAAGAAATGACCGATGATCAATGATGCTTCATTGGGGTTGTGTGTGCCTCCTTTTTCCAAAGGCCTGCTATCATCTATTTGGGTGATGTGCTGGTCATGGAGGAGAAACGTGATGGCTACAAATGCGAAGTCAAAGAATCTGTAGCCTATATAGTTCCTTCTCAGGTACATTCATAGAAGCCTTTTGCCATCGGCATTCCTTTTTGACACGTATTGCTGTTTGTGACAGTGGTACTCTAATTAAATTGCAAGTGCGGCATGCAATCTTTGCACGCGAACCTGGCATGCAATCTTTGCACACGAACCTCGAAAATCCCGTCAGTTTGACAAACACTTTTGAAGGTTTAGGTCAACGTGTTGGTGAAATAACTGTTGGACACCAATGACATTAGTTAATTTATGTTAATTTGTTTGCCGCACATCTTATCTGTATTTGTGCGTGTTTTTTATGTTTGTATTTGTTTGGAAACTGACATATCGTTGGCTGAAAGCCTTTGACGATGCTTCTGAAACAGTTTGAAGTGGGATTCACAAGTCAACATGCCCTTCGCCAGACGAATGTTTGATGGACGGTCCGCTGACACAAAAACGAACGGAGTTGCAAACCAACTCATCACTAAACAAACAAATATTTTATGAATTCCTGAATTCATTTACAAATCATTTCACCTAATTCTTGTCTCTTCGGCCAACTTGAACAGCCCAGTATAAATGATGCTGTGGCAGTTGCAGTCTTTACGACTCTGAACTCTTGTGTGGCTGGTGCAGTGTACAGCGCAATCTTTTGCGTTATGGCGATTAGACAGTTTGGACACAGTGCGGTCTCTAGCCGCTAGCGGGCTCATTAGCTCAATTCTAAAGCAAGAACTTATAATCAATGAACTCTAGCAACGCAGTGGAACTCTATTTTGCGAAGTCATTCATGTGTTGAATCTAATTATTTCACGGCTAGAAAACCATAGAAAACTCAAATGGCTTGACCAATGCCGTTTTACTCTCGACTGGGCGCGTGGAAAAAGCTTACTGTCTCTGTGCTGTTTGCCACTGAGATAGCACTACTGTTGTTCTGACTGTCATTTTCAGATCGGACCAGTATCAGCACTTCCTGTCCCACTGGTCCTATATGCACGAGCTTCCCCCCAACCCAGCGCGGAAGTCTCCAAAAGCTATCCCCTAGTGGGCTTCATGCCACTCCTAAGATTGGATGTTACGATGCTACAATCTATACCAGATTCATTCAACCAACCAGTGGATCTTTGTTTGATTGCTGATGAACATGAAGGAGGCGCTTTCAAACTCATCAATCGCAATGTGGATATTTCTGGACCACTTGACAAGAGAGCACTTGACGATATCTTGACCAGATCCCAGTCAGCCGGTACCAAACTACCAAAGGTCTCAGGTCTCAGAATGAAAGATGATCCACTACAAGTGAATAAAATCCATATCGACAGATGTTTCCGTCTTGCGTCCTTTGGCTTCCTCATCTGATGCAGTTGGTGGCCTTTTCAGCATGGTCTGGAGTTGCTGATGTTGCTCCTCGGTCGAATTGACTCCAAGGGTGTTGATGAACCCTGCAACTGCCGCTGGGATTGGATGGCCCGCGTCAGCCTCAGGCAAAACTTCAAGGTCAGGCTTTGCTGAATTGACCAAGCTCATGTACGAGGCACTGGTGGCAGTCAAAGCCTGCTGTTCAGCCTCTATTTTGGACTGTATGGCCTTCATCTCCTCTAGCAGTTCCTGGTAGGCTCTCTTGGCGGAGTCAATATTCTGTTGGAGACTCTGCTTCCTGGTTGGTGCCGGCTTCGGCAGCTTTGCCACCAGGTCACGAACCGTGGGGGGAAGCTGCGCCGTGTTCTCCAACAGCGCGTCCTTCAAGCCAGGGTCGAGTCTTGCCACATACTTCTGCTGGAGATTGGGATCCAAAGTAGCCCAAGAAGGGTCCAGGGATTCAGCTGTTGCCTTTTGGATCTTGGTGACCTTTGTTGGCCTGGATGTCAAGCCAGGAGGCAGAGAGTGGATATTGTTGTTTGCCTGTTCTCTTCGCAGACCTGGAGGTTGGCTTGGTGCTGTACCTTGGGTTGGCTTGCGCCATTGCTCACCACACTTCCCGCAGACATATCCTTCTCAAACTCGGTCATCCCAAATCCAATTTTTGCATTGCTCCCCAGCACAGACCTGGTAGGTCCTGCGCAAGGTGTGGCGCCAGCGCGGGGTCATGGATCACGAAGAGGTAGCGGTAGCAGAGGCCACCGAAGTCGTTCGCAAGGACCTTGACGAGGAGGTCACGAAGTGTCCAAGCCAAAGGAGCTTGAGCACCTGGGTCCTTGAGCCAAACCTTGAGCCTATGTATGTATGTATGTATGTATGTATGTATGTATGTATGTATTAGTGTAATGAAACGTAATGTAATGTAATGTAATTTAATGTTTTGCATGCATGTATGTATGTGTGCGTTAATGTAATAATGTTTTATTGTAATGTTTTGTGATGTGTTGTACTGTAAGGAGTGAAATGTAATGTAATGTATTTAGTGTAATGGTACGTAACGTTTTGTACTGCTATGTAATGTTATGTAATGCGATGCAATGTAATTCAATGGTGTATGTATGTAATGTAATGTAATGTAAGGTAAGATATATATGTATGTATATATGTATGTGTGTATGTTTGTACTGTTTGTACGTTTGTGTGCGTCTGTCTGTTTGTTTGTCTGTCTGTATGTATGCATGTTTGTATGTATGGTATGTCAGGCCTGGTATGTATGTAATGTGTGTAATGTTTGTATGTATGTGTGTGTATGCATGCATGAATGTATGTATGTATGTAACGTAACGTAACGAGGTATGTATGTATGTATGTATTGTATTTATCTCATGTCATGTCATGTATGTATGCTTGCGTGTATTTAATGTATGTGATGTGGGTTTGTATGTATGTATGTGTGTATGTATGCACGGTATGTATGTAATGTTTGTACTGTTTGTAAAAACGTATGTATGCATATGTTTGTATTTATGTTGTATGCTTGATTGTATGTATGTATGTGTGTTTGTTTGTATGCATATATGTGTTTTGTATGGTATGCATGTTTTGTATGTATGTATTTATGTACGTATGTATGTATGCACAGTGTATTGTCATGTAATGCAATGTAGTGTAATGTATGTATCTATGTATGTGTGTTTGTTTGTTTTGTTTTGTTGTTTGTTATGTATGTATGTGTGTGTGTATGTATGTACGTACGTACGTATGTATGTAAGTATGTGTGTATGTATGTAGGTAAGTATGTATGTATGTACGTATGTAGCAATGTACTGTTTTGTAACGTAATGTAAGTAAGTATGCGTGTTTCGTATTCATTTATGTATGTATGTAACTCTTGATATGTAATGTAATGCAAGTAAGTGCGTAAGTATGTAAGTAAGCCGTATGTATGTATCTATGTATGTATGTATATGTGTGTTTAATGCAATGTATCAATGTCTGTATATGTGTATGTTTGCATGTATGATTGTAGAGCTCGCGGATGCCTGGCACATTCCGGAATGTGTCATGAATCGATGGGCCAAGTGAAAGTGCGTATTGACATGACATATGACGACAGCAAGCAGACAAGCAAAGAAAAGCTGGACAGAAGGCAGAAGAGCAGACAGTCAGAAAAACACAGAAGCGGAAGAGCAAAGAAACTGAACGGAAGCAGCGAAGCGAAGCCTGTATAAGAAGAACAAAATTGAAGTGAACAATTGAATCACTGCAACAACAAGAGCAAGAACAAACAGACAGAAAAACGGAAAACCAAGGAGTCAAAAAGAAAACACACCTAAAAGAACAAAGCGGAAACAATTGTTTTCTGTCAATATGGTTTGTCATGGCTTGTCTTTCATGAGGCTGACTCATCATCGGCTGATCTGGCCTGGCCAGTCTCAGCCAGTCTGCTGGTCTCGGCTGTTGCGCAATGGCAAGAAATCGGTAAAAACTCAGCAGTTTCCATCCTTTGGGGGGCTCTGCGCCGTCCCCCGGCACAAAATCTGCACATTGTATCCCACTTCACTGCCTGGAGGAAATCAGGCTTGATTAGGCTTGTAAGTTCCATTTTTGCGTTTAATCCCGCCATGTGCAACACAGCGACGCAGATATGCCATAATATCTCAATTTATATCAATTTATAGTTATTAAAAATATATATGATACCCGCCCGCCCTAGACCTACCCAACCCTATTCAAGGGTCATTCTCAGTGGCTTTGAACACACGCCGCTTGCAAACACAGGAACTGAGGGTTTCCCGTTCCAAAGCATGGGAAATGACAACTTCCCCGTACCACATGTTGCGGAATACTGCAGGATCCTGAAGACAAATAACCAAACCTGAACCCATCCTTACCGTTCACTTTCACCAACTTCAACATTCCAACCATGGTCCTAATTGCCCTGGCTCGTTGTCACGTAAGGCTCTTCAGGAAGAGCGTTCGGCACCTAGAGTTGCTGGCTCTGAACATATGCTGGCCACATGGAGATGAAACCCTGCAGGACTGCAGGAGGCGATAAACAGTGGAGACATTGAAAGCGCTGTTTCTTTTGCTGCCATTACCAGTATGCAGCTGTGGACTGTACTTCAAGAACAGACGGCCTGATTGGTGTGTCATGTGTTGGAGTGTTAAGAAGAGTTTGTTAGTTCCTTTGCCCATGTAGGATTTGGTTGGATTTAGAACTGGAGTGTGAGTTGGAGTGTGCTGCGCATGATGCATAGGCTGACGCAACCTACTGGGGCCAGGTTCCCCGATGGAGGGTCGAATTTGTCTTGGTGCTGAGGCGAGGCCTTGCAGCGGCAATGTCAGTGGACCCAGGGAATGCACCATGCTTGGCACTGCTGACCCATGCAAGCAGAACATTAGGACACTGAGCAGTATGTCACGTTCTTTGAGGGCCCTCCGCGCGCTCAATGAATCCGCGCCCGGCATCTTCAGGGTTGACAGTTTTC